AAGGGTTCCGTTGTCAGATTCTGTAAAGGCTCCACAAGGGGTCGACAGGGCTTTCGAAGGATACCGTAAGCGTTCTTTGAGAGCCGTTTTTCTTTGAGGTTTGCGAGATGGTTGAGCCCCCCCAAGCCCTAAACCCTAAACCCTAAACCCTAAACCCTAAACCCTAGACCCTAAACCCTAAACCCTAGACCCTAAACCCTAAACCCTAAACCCCGGCATCCCAGGAAGAAGGAGAAGGTAGAGAAGGTGGCGAAGGAGAAGCCGACCTGGGGTGAGCCAGGCGAGGGCTGCTGTCAAAACGGGTTTGGGTTTAGGGTTTAGGGTTTAGGGTTTAGGGGTTTAGGATGTTAAAGGAATCTGTTAAGTTTCTTTCGGGTTTCTTTTTCCTCTTGAACTTCTAAGGCTGTTTTTACTGGGTCCTCAGAAAGTTGCGGTTGATGTGCGAGGTGTTGCTTTTGTTTCTTTGTTAGGCCTTTTCTAGCTTTCGTTTTGGTGCCTTTGAGATCAGGTTTCCTTACGACTTTTGGTTCTTGAAGGTTTCGTTTCTGTTCCTATACGGATTTTGTTGGTTTGGGTTCCTTTACGGTTTACTGTTTCAGGTAAGGGTATCCTCTGACTATTTACTTTGAAGGTTCAGTGTTTCAAGAGCCAGCAAGAGATTCACATGAGACCCTAAACCATAAACCCACAATTGATGATGATGATGATGATGATGATGATGATGATCAGTAGCAATAATAGCTTTGTTTTCGTGATTATAACTAGTAGTAGTATTCTTGTTCTTCTTAGTATTTGTTGTTAGAGCATAATATGCTCCAAAGAAGAGACGGGGCAAGTTGAAGGCTCCCCGGTATGGCTGCTGTAGGGCCCTGGCTGTAGCTTCTTCGTACATGTGCACAGAAACCTATTCTAACTATTGAGGTTTGGGGTTTAGGGTTTAGGGTTTTACGGCCCCTAATTTCTTGAACCCGAAGTCTTTTTACTGACGCCCGTCGCCCGAAATGTGAGAGCCTGAAGCCATCCCGAAAGGGGTGCTATGGGCGTTCCGGCTGTGCGGTTTGCAAAGTCTGACACTACCTGGACTGCAGCCCCGAGCTCTTTCTGAGTACCATGCCATTTCAGGAAGACCTTCAGCAACCTTGACGGTATCCAGTAGCACTTATGCCAACGCTGATGGTGCCCCTGATGGTGACCTTTGTAGCATCCCTTCTGGCAGCCCGTATACTAACCCTTGTAGTATCCCCTCTAGCAGCCCGTCGAGTAAGCCGCAGAAGAACCTCCGAACCCTAAACCCTAAACCCTAAACCCTAAACCCTTAATCCTAAACCCTAAACCCTAAACCCTAAACCCTAAACCCTAAAACCCTAAAGCCGTAAAGCCCTAAGCCCTAAACTCGGAGGCGCCAAGAAGGCCAAGGAAGCCAAGGCGAAGGCGAAGGCCGCTCCCCAGCAGCGAAATAGGAGGGTCGGAAGGAGGGTTTAGGGGTTTAGGGG